TATTTTATATTTGGAATTTACGTTTATTTTTTAAAATTTGCTTGTTTCTCAAACTTTTTCCTGCGTTTTATTTGTATTTATTTTTGTTTTCCTAAAAATAAACCCTTTGTAAATACCACTTTTTCACAGCCTACATATGTAAATCAAGGTAACAAAAACATAATCAAGTAAGCCTTGACACAATCTTATAAAATGTCAGAATTAGGGTCTTATGAAATTTTACAAGAGTAAATTACACGTGAATATTACAAGAAAAAATTGCAAGAAATTTATAACCGTTAAATCTATTAAAATTTATTATTATTTTGTTTAATTTTTAAAATTTGTTTTTATTTTAAACAAAACTTTCCTTGCGTTTTCTTTGCATCTATTTTCGTTTTTCTGTAAATATACCTTCTGTAAATACCACTTTTTCCACAGCCTACACAAAAACAAAAACATAATCAAGTATGCCTTGGTACAATCTTAGAAAATGTCAGAATAAGGGTGCTTTTCAAGCAATGAAAAGGGAGTAAATTACAAGTGAATAAAATAAAATTGCAAGAAATTTAAGTTCTAGTTAATTTTATGCCCAAAATTTATTACAAGCCTTAAATTTTTTTTATGATTTCATTTTATCTTCAAGCGTTCAATAATTTAAACTTTATTATTTTCAATAATTACTACTAAAGTGATTGATTATCGCCTAGGCTGGATAAATAATTTAAACCAAACGAAAAAAGTTCGGACCAATAAAAAAAATCTACTGGTTTCAGATCTCTCTAACCTTATTTACCAATTTTAATAAATATTATTATAATTGTACGTTTAGCAAATGAAATTGTGTCTTAAAAATTAAATTTTGCATGCCATGCGGCTGAGATGTGTCTTTATACTTCGCTGTTATTATTTATATATTTGTTCTCCACGTTATAAATAACTAGTTAAGGGTGTGTCTAATCGAAAAATGCCAAGGGACTTTTTGTTAGAATGCTATTCCCTCTCCAACCCTTTTTGTCTATCCATGACCTTTGAGATACCCAGTATACCATGACATGATTACTGCAATATTGATTTTATTAATGATACAAAATATAAATAAATTTATGTTGGGAACTAAAAAATATCAGGAACAAAACCATTATAACATTTTTTTTATTTGGAAAAAGTTATTGGCCCATTTCAATATTTATTGGGTTTAATCGGGTTTTAAATTGTTGAAAGGCGACTATAATAAAATATAAAATTTGTAAAAAGTTTGTTAACCATTTGAGAGATGTCAGATTTTATGTTTTTAAATCATTATTCACTCGAATGATTTTAGTATCTCGTCTGGTGATCTGAGACGTAAACCTCTTCCTTATGAATAAACGTAAAGTATAATTAACAAGAAATATCATAGACACTTTGTATTTATTGTTTCACGTATAAGTGTTTTTTTAATGTCTGGAATATGTGTAAAAACATTGTCTGTTTTTTTAGTACCTCCTGATAATGCCGAAACGCGAAACTAGTCGAGAAGATAATTAAAAATATATATTCAGTAGGCACAAGAAATCTCGTCCTTTATTATGGACCAAAAACTGGATAATGGTTTTTACTAAACAACTTCAAAAAATAATATATTTTTTTGACAATAATCGATAATAATTATGTATATAATTTTGTATATTTTACCCTATAACTGTTTTCTTATTATAAATTTGGTAAGATAATTTAAATTGTATTTATTTATAATACATATGTTATGGTTTGTTGAAAATATTTGGAAATTTTATGGAGTTTATCTGATAAACCTATTAACTATGTTTAGAAACATGTAAGCTTATAAAAACAAATAAGTTTTATTTTAAAATATAAAAAATTGTCGCTTTAAATAAAAAAAACTATTTAAATTTAAAATGTAAATAACTTTTGCAAAAATGGCGAATGCGCCGGGATTAATTTACTTCTTTTTTTTTCAAAAACTGCAAAATGTTACCAAGTATAACACAGTACGACAAAATTTGATTTTTTTCCCACCCATGAAAAATTCCTTTTTTCAGATCACGTCATTTTTGTGCGATCCAATAAAATGTTGATAACAGATACACTGTTTATTTTTATAAACAATTTATTCACTAAATAAATGGACAACCATTAAAATTATTTATTTATTTTAAAATTATTTTAATTATATACACATTTACGAAATACGGGTGTTTCACGTTCGTGGTCCATTGAGAGTTTCTGAGGAACGGCAAAAGATATCGATTTGAAATTTTTAAACCGTTTATAATCCAATTAAGCCTATTTTCTAAAATATTTTAAACTAAATGGCACTTTCGGTTTTACCGGAAGTGACATCAACTTTGTTATTTTGAAAAGAACATATATTTTTAAATTCTACATAAAATTTTGAGTAAAATAACTGCACCATGTTCTATACCTAAAGTGAATAGTTTTCGAGTTATTAATTTTTTTCGTTAAAATAGGACAAATGCGTATCAATTAAAAATAGCTTATAACTTTTTTACTATTATGTTTGCGGAAATGGGGGTGGAATTTTTGGAATCTTAAAACATTGTTTAAAAGATTCCATGTCAATTCTCTAACATTTATTAACAAATTACCCAAGAAAATCCAGGGCAAATTAGGCTAACTTGAAACGTTAATAACTTTTTTATTTTAAATGAAACACCCTGTATATTTTTACATAAATAGAAAATTAAAAAACATTTCGATGGATGTAAATATTTCCTATAAATAAAATTAATAATTTAAGAGATATTAAACAATTTCTAGTATTAGACCCAGAATCGAGCCTAGAATTGTCAAGAAGAGCAACGTCTAATGTAGAAGTAAGAATTAAGAAATGCTTAAATGTTAATGAAGGACACTTTGAACATTTAGTAACAAATTAGTAATAAGAATTGTTGATTTATTAAATTGTTACAGTTTTTGTTATTAAAATATTTCATAAACTAAATTTTATATTTAATTGTCTCCAATGAGCCAGTGGCACTAGCCTAGTGCTTCATCTAGTTGACTAGATGGTCACAATATACAGCTTTGTTGATTTTTGTTCAAAATTAGCAAATACTGTTTGTATTACTTTTAAATTTTAAAAACGTTTGACTTGTCAATGTTTTTTAAAATTGTATATTACAATCTGAAAAATTGACGCCATTAAATTTTGAACAATGACAGATTACGTAGAAACCACAAATACCACAGGTTTCTTGATACAAAATAATATTTAAAATTTTAGAAATTGTTAAATATATTTGAAATTATTAACTAGGTATAAGGAATAGTTACACTAATCGAAAAGTTTTATAATTTGCTATTTAATTAGGTAAAAACATACCGGGTGTTACACTTAAAATAAAATAAAATAAAAAGTTATTAACGTTTCAAGTTAGCCCAATTTTACAACAATATTTTAAGATTTCAAACATTTTACCCCCATATCCGTAAACCTAATAGCAAACATCTAGAAAACTATTTACTTTAGGTATGGTATAGTAATTTTACTCAGATTTTTAGGTAAAATTTAAAAATGTAAAAATATATGGGGTGTTCTATTTGAAATAACAAAGTTGATGTCACTTTCGGTCAAACCAGAAATGGAATTTTTTTCAAAATATTAAAAAAAATAGACTTAAATGGATTATAAACGCTTTAAATTTCAAATCGAAATCTTTTTCCGTTCCCCTAAAACTTCCATTGGGCCACGAATGTGAAACACCCTGTATATCAAGTGGTTTTTTTATGTTGTGATAACACTATAGATTCTAAAGAAATGTATAATCGTCAAACTAAAAGAACAAGATTTGTTTACAACATATATTTAATATAAGATAAACAAATCTGTTGTTTTATTAAAAAAGAACGAAAATTAAAACAAGAAATATGTTTTTCTACTCCCACCTTTAAAACGCCCTTTATCGTACATGTTTCCATGACACTAAGTGACCTTTTAAATACACATTGACAAGATGTGGCTTTACGGCGCTTTAGTCACGGGATGAAGTTAGCAACAGATTTGTAGTCACGGGCTAAAATTAGTTTTAAGTTAGTTGACAGTTGTCAAATGTCATACAATCGTTAAAATAAAGTGCCTTTCTTGTAAAATAATACTAAATGTAAAAATTATTTTATTATCTCAATACAAAAATATAAAAATATTAAATAGTTTCTCAACGCCAATATTTGAAAGGTTTATATGAACATTGTACTGACCTTTTAATTTCGCCGGCAGTAAACTATAACTTAAATTCGGGCACGGACTCTACTGTAAAGTCCTCATAAAACATTTCCTTTACTTTCACTGTGAAAAACTGTCAATTTTCAATATACATTTCGATTTATAACCTTTATAATTGTGTTTATAAAATGTAAAAATGTGACATTTGACAGTTTCCCCTGTTGTTTCATAGATGGCGCTCTATACAAATTTTTGATTTAAGTCATTTTAAGATAATGAGTGTAGTATGCACCTCGTTTATAAACTTTTCTATACACTCATTAATTTAAGAAATCGCTCGCAAGCTCGCTCGTGCATAAATTAAATGTGTATAAAATGGCGTTTATCAAACTTGATACATAGTTTACTATTTTGTACTTAAAAAAAATTAAAATACATATTTTCGTTAAGTATAATTTTTGTATTATGTAAAAACTTACAATATTTAAAGAAAAAAAAATATTTATAACAAAATAGAGAATTAAAAATCTGTATAGGTTAAAATAATAAGAAAGAATGGCTGTATAAAAAATTTAAATAACCTGATTTCGTGAAACGGTGAGACACGGGTACGCTTTTTAACACCTTTATTTTTAAAATCTGTTAAAATTTTTCATGGGAGGAAAATCGTGTTGTACTGTGTAATTTTGATGGGTTTACTTTATTTTGGTTGACTTCCGAAAAATTGTTTATAGGGGTGACAAATTGCATTTAGATATTTATAAATAAAAATTAAAAATACTAAAAGATAATTAAAAAATTACTTGTTAATTTTATAATACTTTATTTTCAGATACGGTAGTCCTCATCACAACCGGTCGCAGTCGGTGAAAACTCCGGGCCGGTCTTCCGGAAGACCAAACTACCTCTGTCTACCTCAGCAGAGGTCCAGGGTGGCTTCGATGCCCAACACTGGAGTGGAGGAGGAGTACTACAGATTAAGGCACTTCTCCATCACAGGAAAGGGTGTGGTTAACAGAGGCGATAGCCTGAAGAGCAGGCGGTCCAGGTCAAACAACTCGGTGGCTTCGAGTAATTCAAGGTAAGTCCTCTTTTATATTGTAAACAAAAAGACTAGTTTATACAAGATGTTATATAATTTTTGTAATAAGAGGTGTGTTCAGAAAATAACGGGAATTGTTAAATTTCGCGGGTTCGGAGGGTCCGGTTGTCATAAAATTTTCTTTATTATGTTGGTATACATGCTCCCGAAGTATGATAAAAACTTTAGCTATTTTCATCGTTTTTCTATGGCAGCCGCTAAGGTTAGACTTGTTTTATGAGCTCGGCGATTTTCGTTCGTTAAAAGAAATGGATCAAAGAAATTTGTATCCAATTTTGCTTAAAAAATTAAATAAATTCTGTGAAATGTTAACAAAGGCCTATAGTGAGTCTGCTATAAGTAAAACAAGTTTACAAGTGGTATAAGAGTTTCCAAGATGGCCGTGAAGACGTTGAAGATGACGAACGCCCCGAACGCCCAAGCACATTAACAACCGATAAAAACATGGAAAAAGTGGAAGAAATGGTTATAAACCATCAGAGAAGTCGCTGATGATGTTGGTAAGTCGATTGGCTCATCTCACAAAATTTTTTCGAAATTTTTAGGTATGAAACGCGTGGCAGAAAAATTTGTTCCAAAATTGTTAAGTTTTGAACAAAATTTTTGTCCTAAAACAATACTGAGGCCTCACCCTCCTTATTCGCCAGACATGCCTCTGTCTGACTTTTTCCTATTCCCAAAAATAAAGAGAACCTTAAAGGGCCGTCGTTTTGCAAGCATAGATGACATTAAAAGCGCATCGCTGAAAGAACTAAACGCTATCCCAAAGATCGAGTTTTAGAAGTGTTTCGAGTATTGGAAGAAGAGCTGGCACATGTGCATAATATCCAATGGGGACTATTTTGAAGGCTACAACATTAATGTAGACGAATAAATAAATATTTTTTTCAAAAAACGAAAATTCCCGATATTTTCTGAACACACCTCGTATATAAAAATGTGTAGTTCTTTAGGGCCCATAAAGAAGCTCCTGAAACTTTTTTTTTCTAAATTCTAAAGACTAAAAATAATGCTACTGATCCACTAGGAACTTTAGGCTAATCTGGTTGCCTAATTTAATTTATTATATTATGGTTGGTAACGAGCAGCGTTTCCAGATTCTGTAAAAAAAAGTTGCCAGATTTTGTTTAAATTCAACTTAATTATAAAGGGTGTATCAATAAGAGCGCAAGATTTGAATTTTGCCTCAGTTTGGCAACCATGATGTCACATGATTAATGACATGACAGATTGATAGGAGACAGATGGGAGTTTGTAAATATGGAGCATTACACGATAGAACAACCCGTCCTGATTATCAAAATGATGAAAGTTTCATTGCCACGATTCGTAAAGGGCGTCCAATATTTTTTCTAAATAATGTTCCTAATTCATCTACTGTGAAAAAAATAATCGAAAATTTTGAAAGCACTGCTTCTGTTAGTGATGTGAAACACACGACACGAGCTCTTTCAGAACAAAATATCGCAGCAGTTCGCGAGAGTGTGGCCGAGAGTCCAGAGACGTCGATTTGCCATCGTGCACAAGAATTGGACATTACAAAAGCCACTCTTCAGCAAATTCTTACTTAAGATTTGCATCTTCATGCCTACAAAGTCCAATTGACCTAACAACTCCAGCCAAAAGACCATGAACAGCGAAGAGAGTTCACCAATTGGATCCTTGAGCAGCAAGAAGTGAATGCCGATTTTGCGGACAAAATCATTTTCAGCGATGAGGCCCATTTTCACCATTATTTAACACCCTTGGACTTTTGGCTGTGGGGTTATTTGAAGTCACAAGTTTATTGCAAATTTTGCCAAAAGAATACGCTTGTGCCTGTTAAGCCGTGGTGGCCATTTACCAGATGTGTTATTTTATACATAATTTCCAAATGTGTACTTTATAAATCAATAAATATTTCAATGCTTTAAAACTTAAAACCATGTTTTACTAAACTTTGAAATCTTGCGCTCTTATTGATACACCCTTTATGATTTTAAATGGTATATTGACTGCATTACTGTTCTGCGAATCAATATTTACTGTTTTCTTTTCTCCGTGGAAAACATTGTATTACTTATTTTGGATCCACACAAGTTAAGGATTGGCAACCTCCATAAAAAGACTACTTCAGTTCTACCAACCATTACAAACCCACTTACCCTAAAAAAACAACCTTCAAAGAGAGGCAATATTCAGTTTTGCACCTTTTATCAAATTGTGTGAAATACCTGTACATATTTTAGTGTAGCATGTCGTAAAAAGAAAGTAGGTAAATAAAATGCTCTGGATGTTTCCTAGTAAAATTTTATAGCTTTCAAGCGCGAACATAAATATATTTATGAAAATACTGAAGTTATTTCCATTCGCGAGGAAAATCTCTCTATACGGGTATATTATTTTCTGTTATATTTCATATTTTGGCAGGATTAAATATCTCTTTCTTCTTCTGTGTTTTACATTTTTCCTAAAATTATTTGCCGAAAATACTGTACTTGTATTTGAGTACCTTAGATGCAAAACTCGGTTTTTGCAAATTAAAAAATAAAATAAAATTGACTTTAAATTCTGTTTAGTGTTCGTCCTAGATAAATGGCGTTTATAAAACTTGATACATAATAATATATATAATATAATATTATTATGTATCAAGTTTTATGAACGCCATTTATCTAGGACGAACACTAAACAGAATTTAAAGTCAATTTTATTTTATTTTTTAATTTGCAAAAACCGAGTTTTGCATCTAAGGTACTCATTTCGGGAATTGACGTTAAAGTTGAAATATATTTCTTTGTGTAACACTTTTACAAAGAGTGTAATATAAGTTATAGTACTCGCAGGTATATTGAATGTTTTCGACGTTGAATATTTTCTCTAAATATCAGAGATTTTTATTTTGTAATATTTATCTTTCAAGCAATACAAAGAAGTAAAATTATTCACTTTAAACTGCAACAAAAATAAAAATAAATAAACAACTCTACAAAAGGTGGTTGCTATTTTAATAATTATAAAAAGTTTTTCTAAAACTGTACCTAAACAAATTAATCGCATTTTTTCTTTAATATGGCTTTTTAGTCAGGGGATAAAGTTTTATTATTAGTATTTTAAATTGGTAACAAGTGAGGTTAAATCCGTCTGATAGCTTTTACATGTCAAATGTTAAACTTATAAAATTTGGTTTAATAAATCACTTGCTTAAAACTTCTGAAAAAAATGCTGTTTATCAAACTTGATAAATAATATTAAAAATAATATTAATACTATTATATTTGCCCAAAAATAACAGAACAAAAAAATAAACACATCAATAATAACTTTTTTCTACTCCCACCTTTAAAACGCCCTTTATCGTACCTGTTTCCATGACACTTAGTGACCTTTTAAATACACATTGACAAGTTGTGGCTTTATGGCGCTTTAGTCACGGGCTGAAGTTAGTTTTAAGTTAGTTGACAGTTGTCAAATGTCATACAATCGTTAAAATAAAGTGCCTTTCTTGTAAAATAATAATAATTATCTCAATACAAAAAATACAAAAGTATTAAATAGTTTCTCAACGCCAATATTTGAAAAGTTTATATGAACATTGTACTGACCTTTTGATTTTTCCGGCAGTAAACTATAACTTAAATTCGGGCACGGACTCCACTGTAAAGTGCTCATAAAACATTTTCTTTACTTTCACTGTAAAAAACTGTCAATTTTTAAGAAATACATTTCGATTTATAATCTGTGTTTATAAAATAACTAAATTTGACATTTGACGGTGACACACAGATTCTCATATTGTTTCATAGATGGCGCTCTATACAAATTTTTAAATTAAATCATTTTAAGATAATAAGTATTTGTCGTTAAAAAAGTATAGTATGCACCTCGTTTATATACTTTTCTATACACTCATTAATTTAAGCACTCGCTCGCAAGCTCGCTCGTGCCTAAATTAAATTCGTGTATAAAATGGCGTTTATCAAACTTGATACATAATATACTATTTTCTACTACTACTTTTGGAAAGCCGATTATTGTACATGTGTCCTGGACACAGTGTGCATGACTCTAAGTGATCTTTTAAACACACATTAACAAGCTATAGCTTTATAGCTTTAGTCACGTGATAAAGTTAGCAACAGGTTTTTAGTCACGGGCTAAAGTTAGCTTTGAGTTCGTTGATAATTGTCAAATGTCATAGAATCGGAAAAATAAAGTGCCTTCTTGTGAAATACTACTAGATGTGAAAATTATTGTTTTATCTTTTATTAAAATACACAAAGTTTTAAATAGTTTCTCAACCCCAATATTTAAAAAGTTTATATGAAAATTGTACTGACCTTTTAATTTCGCCGGCAGTAAACTAGATTTAACTTAATTTTGGGTGGAATGGCAATAAAAAAATTTCTTTACTTTTACTGTAAAAAACTGCTTCTATATCGGATTAAACGGTCAATTTTTAATTGATACATTTCGATTTACACATACAAATTTGAAATTTCTACCGGCGCGCCTTTAATACAGATTCCCAAGTTGGTTACTCTATTGTTTCATAGATGTTGCTCTATCCAAATATTTAATTTAAATCATTTTTAGATAATAATAAATATTTATCGAAGAATGCAACTCGTTTATAAACTTTTCTAGACACTCATTTAATCAATCACTCGCTCTCAAGCTTGCTCGTGCCTAAATTAAAGTCGTGTTTAAAATAGGATTTTATTAAACTTGATACATAATACACTAATAATTATAAAGTATCAATTTTATTTATCTAAACTAAAACTAAAACTAATCCTTAAATAAAAACTAAAAGTGTGTACTGGCTACCGTAATAATATCTAGGTTACCAAAAAGTATATCACATTGTATTAAAATACAGTATAAATTTCTAGACATAGTACAGGTAATTTTACCAAGCTTATTGATCTCGCACTGTAACAGTAAACACAATCGCTTTTCCTACAATTAAGTACGGCACATGAATTTAAATAGACAAA